TGGTCATGGACAAGCCCTTTTCTTATCAGGTGCTGTCCAGGCAGGCGTCCTCTCCTGCCCTGGCCCTGTGGGTGAAGTTTGCAGCACAGAGTTTTCAAAGGTGCTTCTCACCACTACCTCCATGGCACAACCACTTCCTGCTGGTCTCCACTGCCTCTAAAGATGCTTCTGCTACTCTGTGATCTATGAATTCCTCAAAGCACTGAAGTCAGACTGTGTTCTCTGTGAAAGGAAGGACAAGGCCCCCTCTTCCTGTATGTCACTTTTGTCACCTGGCACCAAAGTAAGGTCCTCCGAGCCCTCTCAAGAGATTTTAGTGGCAACAACTCTTGTCAGCTCCTGCCTGCATCCCCTCTCCTGCTTGGGCTCAGATGAATCCATAATGCCGTTCCAGGACCAGCCTTAGAGACAGGCTCTGTTGCTAATCTTCCCTCCCTTGGCCCTCACCCTCTAGGTGGCACGATTATGAATATTTTCCTATAATGAAGATGTGAAAAATAAATGTGTTCATTATGTAATGGCAGACAAGACCAGAATCATCATCTTTACACATAAAGTCACTAACAGCACCCTAATCAGAAAATCATTATCTGTGTGCATCCCTATTCTATTTGTAGTGCATTTAGGCAAAATTATTTAATAGGATTCTGCTGTTTACTCTTTCTATGCTCTTGACTAAACCAAGTGGCTCTTAGAACAAAGCAGCTCTCAACCTTGAGAAATGGGAGGACCAACCCCACTGAGAACAAGGCCTTCTCGAGCTCTCGCTCTTCCTCTAAGCACCATGGGATGGGGTTCCTAGGGTGCAGGCTCCTGTGGGCCGCCCCATAGTTTCCTGGCAGAGACCAGGTGAGAGACGTTAACAGAGGGACTTGAGGTCATCAATTCCGCTTCACCACTGGGTGAGAGAAGTAACAAAGAGGTACGGGAGGAACGTGCCTTTATCCACCTAAAATGTGTGTGCTTGGAAGTAATCCCAGGTTTGCCCAAAATCAGAGTGATGGGAAAATGACGCTGGACATGCTAATGATAATATTAATGTAGGAGTGTGAAGAGATAAACTGCCAAGAGCTGTGAAGATAAAGACTAAAGTGTCAACCACCCAGGCTTAAAGGCCCAGCATGAATGCCACCTCTCCTGTAAAGCCTTCCTTGACCTTCCACATACATAGCACTAATTCCTTGTAGCAGGTTGTGGCAGGGGCTAAGATTGGCATTTGCTGTTACTGTGACGGGGCTAACGGAAGTCTGAAGGGAGAAGGTTGATCAGGAGGCCCTCAAAATTGAGGTAATGTTTCACATGATTAATTTTGACTTAGGTACTGATTCCATTCAGAAAAAGACTTCCCAGGCACCCAGGTAACCTGTTCATTGGGAAAATTCCCTTAGAAGGGAGGATGTGTGTTTGTGGGACTGAGTCTGTGCTAAGTCTTAGTGTGTAAGCCGTACTGGGTTGTGTGAAGGAAGTTGGTTGATGAGTCACTGAGTGTATATGTAAATACATGTGCTGAATGGGTGGGCAAAGAGACCCAATATGGCTGCAGGTGGAGTGGGGAAGGGAAGTTTGAGGGGCCCCGGAATCATCCAAGTGGGGCTGGCCAGCAGGCAGCTAGTCACCTAGGTCTGAAGCTCAGAGGAGAGGCCAAGGCAGGGACAGATTCGAAAGTCATCAGCATCTACACAGTGGTAAAAAATGCAAATGGATGAGATCATACCAACTGAATGAAGAAGTAGGCCAAGCACAGAACTCTGGGGCACGAAGACCCATGGTGTTTAACGTAATTCCGTCCGACACACTCGCACCCATTCCTGACGTCATTGCACTCATTGCTTCAAAACTTCTGCATACCTCTCCTTGAAAGGGTTATTACTCCCCTTCCAAAAGTGACTAAATACAAACTCTCTTCTGCACCCTGAAGGCAGAAAGCCGCCTCCACATTTAGGGCCCCAGATCAAGATGAGACAGGAAGAAGGGCTACCCAGGGGTCCTGACTGCTGTATTTTTCAGCATAGGAGGATCCCAACTGCTTTCCACTGATCAAGGCAGGGAGTTTTGGGGGAACAATAAGACTGAGATAGCCATGCCCATGAGTTCAGTTGCTGAGGCCAACGCCTAATTAAAAACTTGGTCACTAAAGAGCCTGGCTCCCACCTTTTCCACCCTGACCTCTGGGCCTGTTGCCTCCTGAGGAAGTCTGTGGAATGTGATGCCTTTAGGTGCCTTTACCAGTTGCTGGCAAGTTGATTCCAGCTCATGATAACCCCATGTGTGTCGGAGCAGAACTGTGCTCCATAGAGTTTTCAATGGCTGATTTTTTGGAAGTAGACCACTAGGCCTTTCTTCTGAGACACCTCTGGGTAGACTCAAACCTCCAACTTTTCGGTTAGCAGCCAAGCGTGTTAACTGTTTGCATACCCAGGGACCTTTTGGCACTTTTTAGTCGCTTCAGAGAAATCAATGCCTTTCTTGGGGCAAAGTGTACAGAAACGAAGTAAAGGAACGCAGCCGTCTCTGTACATAACCCCCTCCCAGATAGTATTCATCACTTTGATTTTCCATAACCAAGCCCTGTGGCCATGCAAGCTGAGAATCCTTGTCCTTTCCTCACTGAGTGGATCTACTTCCCAAGAGCTGACTCAGGTTAACTAAGCTCAGAATGCATAAAATCAGATGTCAGTTTATTCAAGCAGCAAAGACCCAACTGGAGGATGTCTGAATGCCCTGCAAGGTAGTGGGTTAAGCGTCACACACAGAAACCACCTGGAAGAGTAGTTCTTCCAAAGGAAGAGTCAGACAGGGAGGGAAGGACCACCTGAGTCCAAAGTCTCTCTCCTGTCCCACGCTGCTCTTGCTTTCACAGACTGAGACTTTAGTTAAGAGTTGTGGGAAAGAAACGATAGGTAAAAGCGTCAGAACTGTTCACTAAAAACATGAGCCTTCCAAGAGCAAGAGAAAGGGCAACACTCAAGGGGGAAGAAGGCGACTGTCTACATTTCCACACAGAGCTCAGCTTGGCTCCCATAGTGAAGGTTCCAGAACACTCAGGACTACATTGAGAATCATATATCAGCACTGATGGAAGCAGCGTCCAAAAGACAACAGGACTGTGGGGAAGATGGGGATTGGTCTCCGTTCCTTAGAGGCTTCCTTCTCTACAATCTGTTGTTTCGTCCTAGGCCCAATTCTTCTTTGACTCTATACATACTCACTCCTTTTCTCACAATTTTAACTACCATGCATTCACAGATAACTATCTAGTCCTACCACCTCTCCTAGCTTCAGGTCCAGCTATCCAAATGCCAGTATCTCTTAGACCCATCAGATTCAAAATGTCCAAAATTAAACTTATCATCATCTGCCCTCCTGCCCCATCTGCACCTCCTCCTTGTGCTCCCAATTTTTAACAATGGCATGCCCTACCCAGTCACCCAAGGCATTCTAGTTTTCCTCTGCTATCCTCAGCTCTACCTCTGAAACCTCTCAAATGTATCTCCTCTCCCTCACTGGAACCACTGCTCTACATAGGGCCCTCACCTTTTAACTGGAATATTGCCAACAGTCTCCCCACAGGCTGTCCTAATTCCATCATATCCAAGTTCCATACAGCTATTGGAAAGAGATTTCAACAGTGCACACCTGAACATGTTACCCTAAGCCTGATGTCCAAGTTCCACTCACATTGTGTGTAAGGTCTTCCATGACCTTGCTCCAGCATCCCTCCAATCCCAGCTCCACCACTCCTCACTTCCCATCTTACAAGTTGATAGTGCTAAGAAGCTTAGTTTCCCCCAACGCCACCCTGAATCCATGCTATTTCACACCACTGTGCCTTTCCCTAGAATTCCCTTTCCCTCACATGGTACCCTAAGTATCATTTTATTATTGCAGTTACTGACATGTGCTAGTTTTGATCTAGGGCTCACCCCATGACCCCACCCTCTCAGAGATAACATGAGCCAGGAAAGGTAAACTGGAAAGAAATGACAGGGTTTGATGCACCTACAGGCAGTGATCCCAGGAGATCTGATTATTGGGAAGGGATGTTCTGAAGCAGAGAAAGGGGTTAGGGAGTGATTTTATTCTGTAGGAGTGGCAAATCTCTCACTGACTTCCTCACATGTGATTCATAGAAAGTTCCATTCTTCAAGGTTCTATCATGTCCTTTATCTGATAGGTACTCACCAAGTCCAAAAGATCACCCAGGTATGAATGGCATTCCAGTGTTACAGGTGGATGCAGGAGAGAGGAATTTTTCTTTAAAATCCTATGGAAGCACAAGTCCTTAGCCAACATTTTTAAACTCTTCTAAGGAGAAACTCTGGGTAGCCAAAGTGCTGCAGATTAGAAAACCGTACTGTATTAACCTTCCTGATTTGGCCTGTCTGCGTAGGACATTGGTCTTAAGGGCCAACACTTAGAAAACTCTGGGAAGGCCTGAAACAAAATGGCTTAGGATAAAACTGTGCCAAGAACTTGGAGTTCAGAATAGTGTTCAAAGCCCAGCTCCTTTCACCCTCCCTTCCACTTCAGTTTTGGCACAGGGATCAGGAACAAAGCACAGCCATACCAAAAGGGAAAGGATCAGAAGGCAAAAATGCAGGTATGAGTGAGCAATGACAAGGAACCCTAGGTTCCTGTAAGGTTTAACCTATGACCAAACCAAGCACAAGAAGCAGCAGGATTGCCCCCCACGCCCCGCCTCACCACCTGGAGTAAAAGCGAAACTCTGAAACGTATTTCCTTAGCCAAAGCAGAATCTCAATGGAAGAAACATCATCATGACTACATATTTTTCCCAGTCTCAACCCTTCTATATCTCCCATCCATATTAAAGATGGAAATTCACATCAAGTGTTTTGATATAGTTCAGCGTCGCTCAAAGCATTTTGCCAATTCTGAATGTCCTAAGTCCTTTTGAGTCTCAGTTCCATATTTGTTAGAAGGAGAATACATGATTCTAACAGGAAATGCAGTCTACAAAGTGCTTTGAGATCCTGGCACCTGAGATACCTGCCTTAATGGGGAAGGGAATTCAGTACAGAAGAGCACCTAAGGCTCTGGAGAAAGACAGATCTGGTTGAATTCTGCCTCTGACACTTTCAGATGTGTGACCTGAAGCAAGTTATTTAACTTTCTTGAGTTTCCTCCTCTGAGAAGTGAGGAGAATATTAGTACCCATCTCCTGGGGCTGCTGTGAGAATTAAATGGAATGAAGTAGATAGTGCTTTAACACCAAGCCTACCAAAAAGCAAACGCTCAATAAGTCCTGGCTATTTTTGCTATTAGTAATGATTTAGTGAGGTCACTATTGTTCCTACTCTTTGCTGAGCTCATGGTGGCCTGCTTCAGACCTCTGATTCTCAACTATGCCCATCTCACCACAGTCTCAAAGTTCTCCAGTGACTGTAAGCCCCGACTGAAAGTCGCCATGTATGAGAACCACGGCCGATGGGGTGTGTATACAAACAACAGTGTGAACGCACACCAAAGGTTTGGATCTATGCTCAAGATCATTGATTTACCTCTGGAGGCCGTAAGTTACCAGTGTGGCTCAAACATTGTTAAAGCTCTTAAAATCTGACTCATTGCGACCCCATGCACTACACAGCAAAACTGCTTCATAGGGTTTTCTTGGCTATTATCTTCATGGAACCAGTTCAACAGGCCTCTCTTCCCTGGCGTCGATGGGTGGGTTCGAATCACAAATCTTTAGGTGAATAGTCAACCATTCGTGCCACCAGGGACACAACAGCAAATGTAAGGACTACCTGAGGATTGTGTGTGGGTATTTTATAGGAGAAAAACAATTCACATTTAAGAAAAGTGCCTTCAAATATAGATCCTTAGTATCTGTAATTCACTTCCAAATTAGTAGTATTATACCAAGATAACTTCCTTAGGCACACACTAAGCTTAAAAATTGAGAATGTTTCTTTCAAGCATACATCTTAAGATCTTGGGAGTTTTAAATATACATTTCTCTCTCTTTTGTTGTGGGGGGAGGTGTCTCCTATGATGTTTTCCCTCCTGAATGGGTTCTCCGATGGGCACTGAAGTGAGAGCTGTTGTTGAAATCTTTGCCACACTCAGTGCACTTGTAGGGCTTCTCCCCAGTGTGGATTCTCTGATGAATGATAAGACTGGAGCTCTGGTTAAAGCATTTCCCACACTCTCTGCATTTATAAGGCTTCTCTCCTGTGTGAATCCTCTGGTGAGTAATGAGATTAGAACGGTCACGGAAGAATTTCCCACACTCGAGGCATTTGTAGGGCTTCTCTCCTGTGTGCACCCTCTGGTGTGTGATCAGCTTGGAGCGCTCACTGAAGCACTTCCCACAGTCTCCACACTTATATGGCTTCTCCCCAGTGTGGGTTCGCTGGTGGTTAGCCAGGGTGGAGCTCTTGCTGAAGCTTTTCCCACATTCAGTACACTCATATGGTTTCTCTCCCGTATGGATTCTTTGGTGACTAATGAGGGCAGAGCTCTTAGAGAAGCTTCTTCCACATTCAGAACATTGATAAAGTTTTTCCCCTGAGTTGGTGATGTGCGTTCCAGGAGAATTTAAGTTCTTACTGACACTGCTTCCACTTGAAGGTTGTTCAGGAGATGTCTCCTCTGTAGAGTTTCTCCAGTGAGCACTAAATGATGAGCTTTGGCCAAAGCTTTCCTCAGGCTCACTACAGTTGCCAGGATTTCCTCCAAAGTGGATTCTTTGATGTTTTAGCAGGTTTGAGCTCTGGTTGAAGCTTTTCCAACATTCCCCACATTTGTAGGGTTTTTCCCCAGTGTGGATTCTCTGGTGAGTGACAAGATTGGAGTGGTCCCTAAAGCTTTTCCCACATTCAAGGCATTTGTAGGGCTTCTCTCCAGTGTAGATTCTCTGGTGGGTATTGAGGTTAGAGCGGTCACTAAAGCTTTTCCCACACTCAAGGCATTTGTAGGGCTTCTCACCTGTGTGGATCCGCTGGTGAGCAATGAAGTGGGAGCTCCGACTGAAGGTTTTCATGCATGTGTCACACTTGTAGGGTTTCTCTGCCAGGTACAAGCCTTGATGGTCGATAAGTTTTTCTAAGTCCTCTTCAGAAGAAGATTTTTCCCACTGTTCCTGAGTGGGATTTCCCCACTGTCTTTCACTTTCATTTTCATTTTCACTATCTTCCTCCCAGTCATGAGCGTGGAGAACATCCTCTGCAGTGCATTTTGATAATGCTCCAGGAAAATCCTCAAAAATTTCCTGCTCTGAAATCTGGTCTTCATCCTCATGCCTCAATTCAAAACCTGAAAGAATGAACAGAAATGTGGTTTTGTTCATTCATTAGTTAGCATTTATTTATCTATCTGGATCTTATATCTTGAGGAATCTCTGGGTGGCACAAACGGTTAAGCACTCAACTACTAGCCAAAAGGTTGGCAGTTCGAATCCGCCCAGAGGCTTCTCAGAAGACAGGCCTTGTGATCTTCCAAAAGGTCACGGCCTATGGAGCAGTTCTACTCTGCACACATGGGGGTTACCATTAGTCGGAATCGACTGAACAGCAATTAACAACAATATCTTGTGGATGTGGTTAACCTGAGCTTGTATCTTGCATCTTATGAATGTGGCTAACATTAAATTGATCAAGTTTTGCAGCATACACGCATTTCTGACCTACAAAGCCTGGGACATGAGAAATGGAGCCTGGGACATGGTGACCCCACTGAGGGAGCAATGAGGCCCAGCCTGAGCAGCCAGCCAGTCAGCTTCCCTGGCCAACTGCCCTATCTCACTATTCAATAATAAACACCTCCTTCTTCTAATCAATAGTATTCAGTATATTCCGTGGCACATGAGATTGAGTAAACTCTATAACTACCCAGATGCATCCCAGTAAAATCTAGACTGACTGGCTGCTGTCTCATTTGGGGGATCACACTAGGCCAGACACTGGCTAATCAGAGCAAAGCATAAATCATTTTCCTATTTAGTCCCATTCTCTCTTTGGTTTGGTAACAAAAGATAATGAGCCTGACTTCCTCACTTTTTCTGCATGCCTATTACTCCAGGCTTACCAGTGTCCGGGGTTTTAGGACATGGGGTTGGAGGTTTGATGACATCTTCATCTGCCATCTCGTCCCAGGCCTCCTGGTCATCAGCCTCCGTACTGTTCTGTCCAGACATGAGGAGGCCTGCAGCCTCCCTCAGGGTCCCCATGGTTCTAACCGCAGTGCGAGCCCTCATCAACGAGTCTAGTTCCTCATAGAAGGGGCACGTCCCTGGTGGGTGGCTGCTCTTGGCTTTCCGGTAGCTTCGAAGGAGGTTTTTGAATCTGTAGCGACACTGTTCCAGTGTCCTCAGGAAGCCCTGCGCACACAGCCGCTCTGCAATAGCCCGGTACACCTGGCTGTTCTGGTGACAGGTGCGAAGTTTTTCAGAGAATGGGGACTCGCTGAGAATTGCCAGGAAAGCCTTGGTCTCTTCGTAGCCCCAGTGCACACCTGCTGTCAGGAGCGAAGAGTTCAGAGCTGTGAGACTTAATGAGATTAGCCTAGGTCATCATGATTGGGGTCACCTGCCCTGCTAAATGTCCAGAACACAGGTATCTCAGAAACTGCCCAGGTGCCTGGGGCACCAGCAAAAAATATACCCTTGCTTCTCGAAGGTGTGTTAGGAAGATCAGCCAAACCTCCCCCTACCCTATTCTAAGAGATTCTATAAACACTTAAGAGTCTCAGCTGAAGAAGAGGACTTAGGAGGCAATATTATATCAGTTGACCCCACCCCCCTAATTCTGCTGATTGGTTCAGGGAAAAGCCTGTAATTAGGATCCAAGAGCTTCTCCCTGGATCTGTTACAATAAACATCCTTTATTTACTTAATCTAAATCTCTACCAAAGATACACTAAAGCGCTAACCACTCACTAGATCAATTCCAAATTCCTGGACTACTCCAGGTTTCCTACCAAAGTTATTTGCTATGTACTCCCTTAGAAAACCACTTTCAAATTTCTGTCTAGGTTATGCCTGGTTTGCAGTTGAGGTATCCGAGGTTTGTCTCACCTTATCTACTGAGCCTCAACTGCTATCATAGCCAACATAAGCCTACTACAAAATTGAGTCAGAGAAGCTTGGGTTCAAATTCCAACTTCACCACATCCTGGATCAACAACCTAAGGAAAGGACTACTTAATTTCTCTGAACCTCTATTATCTTGACTGTAAAATGAAGACAATACCTACCTACTTCATAAGGTTATTATGAAAATGACACGAGACAACAGCCATAGAATGTACTACCACATAAGCTTGTAATGTATGATATACCACACAGCATGGGTCCCCTGCCACTGCACACGTGTATATCTCATCTATGCAAATGGCCTTTAAGAAGGGGTTGTCTTCAATAGCCAACATCATCCTAAATGGAGAGAGTCTGAAAGCATTCCCTTTGAGAATGGGAACCAGACAAGGATGCCCTTCATCACCACTCTTATTCAATACTGGGCTGGAGGTCCTAGCCAGAGCAATTAGGCTAGCAAAAGAAATAAAGGGCATCCATATTGGTAAGGAAGAAGTAAAAGTATCTCTATTTGCAGATGATATGATCCTCTATACAGAAAGCCCCAAAAAATCCACAAGAAAACTACTGGAACTAATAGAAGATTTCAGCAAAGTATCAGGATATAAGATAAACATACAAAAATCAGATTCCTCTACACCAATAAAGAGAACTTCGAAGAGGAAATCACCAAATCAATACCATTTACAATAGCCCCCAAGAAGATAAAATACTTAGGAATAAATCTAACCAGAGACGTAAAAGACCTATACAATGAAAACTACACAACACTACTCCAAGAAACCAAAAGAGACCTGCATAAGTGGAAAAACATACTTTGCTCATGTGAAAATGTCATACCTTGCTTCAACATTATGAAAATGTCAATTCTACCCAAAGCGATCTACAGGTACAGTGCAATCTTGATCCAAATTCCAACGTCATTTTTTAATGAGATGGAGAAACAAATCACCAACTTCATATTGAAAGGGAAGAGGCCCTGGGTAAGTAAAGCATTACTCAACAAGAAGAACAAAGCGGGAGGCCTCACACTATCTGATTTTTAGATAGTAGACAAGAATTATCTTAGGTGAAGGGAAGGACAACACACAATACAGGAGAAGTCAGCACAACTGGACTAAACCAAAAGCTAAGAAGTTTCCTGAATACAATCAAACACTTTAAGGGACAGAGTAGCAGGGGCAGGGGTCTGGGGACCATGCTTTCAGGGGACGTCTAGGTCAACTGGCATAACAAAATTTATTAAGAAAATGTTCTGCATCCTACTTTGGTAAGTGGCATCTGGGCTCTTAAAAGCTAGCGAGCGGCCATCTAAGATGCATCAATTGGTCCCAACCCACCTGGAGTAAAGAAGAAAGAAGACCACCAGAGACACATGGAAACTATTAGCCCAAGAGACAGAAACGGCCACATAAATCAGAGACTCCATCAGCCTGAGACCAGAAGAACTAGATGGTGCCCGGGTACCACCAATGACCACCCTGACAGGGAACACAACAGAGTCCCTGATGGAGCAGGAGAAAAGTAGGGTGCAGAACTCAAATTCTAGTAAAAAGACCAGACTTAATGGTTTAACTGAAACTGGAGGGACCCCGGAAGACATGGCCCCCAGACTCTCTGTTAGCCCAAAACTAAAACCATTCCCAAGGCCAACTCTTCAGACAAAGATTAGACTGAACTATGGGACATAAAATGATACTCGTGAAGAGTGTGCTTCTTAGCTCAAGTAGATACATGAGATTAAATGGGTAGCTCCTGTCCGAAGGCAAGATGAGAAGGCAAAAAGGGACAGGAGCTGGTTGAATGGACACAAGAAATCCAGGGTGGAAAGAAGCGTGCTATCACATTATAGGGAAAGCAACTAAGGTCACATAGCAATGTGCGTATAAATTTTTGTATGAGAAACTAACCTGAATTGTAAACTTTCACTTAAAGCACAGGAAAAAGAAAAAAAACTGTCAAAAAAAAAAAAAAAAAGAAAGGGCTGTCTTGCATTTTCTATATGTTCCCCAGTCTCCGGCTCAGGGTCATCACACAGCAAGCATGCAGTAAGACTTGTTGCTTGGTGTCAAGAATCTGCAGCCAAGAATCTCAATTTCTCCTTCCTACGGAAGTCTTCTAGCTGACCCTCCGGCATCTTAGAGACCTGGTCACATGGCACACCCTTGTCACTGCCCTTCAAAGTTGTGACCTTAAAGGGCCACCACTAGCTACAGAACTAAATCCAAGTCTTCTGTATGATACTCAGACCTCACTACCTACTCCTACCCAACATACATCTCTACTCCTGCCAAGCTACTCCCTACGCTATTCTCCAAATACACACTACACATTCTTGCCTCCAAGGCCAATAGCAGAGGAATGGTTGAGGATACTATGGAAAACCACTTCAATGGAGTATTTGGCAGCCAATAAAATGGATAATTATGAAGACTGTAGAGACACTAAGCAAGAGAGGGTAAATAACTTGCCAGTGTCACACAGCTAGTAAGTAGCAAAGCCAGAAGTCGAACCTAGGCAGTCTGACTCCAGGGTCTGTGCTCTTATCCACTATGTGATGCAAATTAAGATAAGTCATCCATTCATCTGTTTACCAAATACTTCTAAAGTGCTCACGTTGTGCCAGGCACTATGCAAGGCATGCTGGATACAAAGATGGGACATAGTCCGTGCCCTGGAGGGGCTGACAATCTAGTTCACACACACATATAACGCTAGGTGGGAAAGAAAGATAATGTATTATGATTACACTATGTAAAAATGGTGTTTATATAAGGACAAGAATAGGGCACGGGAAAATGGAAATAGTTTAATTTCCATTAAACTATTCTGGGATTCTAGATAAATTGTTTACCTAAATTTATTATCTGTGAAATCATGGGTTGATGTGCTAGTTGTACTTTTTCTAACACACATTAAGAGAAATACATGACTATTAAAATTAAAGGTCCACTCATGTAACATGGAAGCAGCTGTGTGGTGCAGTGGTTAAGCACTCGGCTGCTAACCAAAAAGTCAGTGGTTTGAACCCACCAGCCACTCTGTAGGAGAAAAATGTGGCAGTTTGCTTCCATAAAGATTACAGCCTTGGAAACTCTATGGGACAGTTCTACCCTGTCCCATCGGGTTGCTATGAGTCGGAATCGACAGACAGTAACAGGGTTTTTCATGTAACACCTGTGATCATCTCCATACTATCAGTGACGTACTTCTGGAAATACTGGAAATACTAGATTAGCTCTTTCAGGCCCTTTAAGGCTTTAAAAAAGTATGTTTTATAATTAAGAAAACATGTACAAGAAGAGCTATCATAGCAGAAGAGAACAGGAATTTGACAATGACCTAAAGAACTGAACATCTTATTCCAGTGACAACAATGCAGGCTTGTAGTATGTGCCCTGACCTCAGGGAGCAAAAGTTAAGCTGGCAGGAGGGTTGGAATCTGGATTCAGTTAAACCCCCATGTTCTTACCAATACGACTCTGGAATAGAGCTGGGCCCCCTGGAATCCTGGGCCCCTGGACGGACTCATCAATGGCCAGGTCATCACCATTACAGTCTTCTGCTGTTTCCTCGGGCTCCCAGCCCCCTTCCTCTTGCTCTTCTACCTCTGCATCACTATCCCCCAGCCTACGGAGTGCCACAGCCTCTCCTGGGCTGTCCGTGGCTCTAATGGCGGTCCGAGCCCTCACTAGGGCCTCCAGCTCCTCATAGAAGGGGCAGGTCCCTGGCGGGTGGCTGCTTTTGGCTTTCCGGTAATTCCGTAGGAGGTTTTTGACCCTGTAGCGACACTGCTCTAGTGTCCGCAGGAAGCCCCGTGCCCTGAGCCTCTCTGCAATGGCCTGGTACACCTGGCGGTTCTGGTGACAAGTCCGGAGCTTTTCAGAGAAGGGAGACTCACTCAGAATAGCCAGGAAAGTCTTGGTCTCCTCATAGCCCCAGTGAACACCTGACACCTTCATGTCTTCCACATCCCATTGGTATTGTTCTTCCCAGGTCCTTGAGTCCTTCCAGGCCAATGTCTGAGCTGATTTTGCTTGTTCATTACCCAGGTTATAATCTCCAGCAGTGTTCCTTTTCCAAGAACTTATAATGTTTGGACCCCAAAAATCTCGTGCTTGCTTTCGTTGGGAGGTGCTATTTGGTTTTGAAACTAGAACTTCTGTACAAAAGGAAGAAGAGAAGTGATTGAGTAGAAATGACCTGCTGAGCAGTGTTTGTCCCTGAAATTTTTATCCTTTCCCTGTAAGAGGCAGATGAGAAATTCCCATGTTAATCCCTTAAAATGTCTGTGGAATAGTAACAGCCATTTTTTTTTGTCACTCCCTTAAGACTCATGACTTTGTGAAATCTATGGAATTTCAGAGACAGGAAGAAGAGTTGTGCTTTGCAGCCAACACTGTGATGACAGGAACAGAGTGTGCCTGGATAGAGCCGACAGGGTGGCTTCCAAGAGCCAGCTCATCACCTTCATCACCTCAGTATACTCAGCACGGTCCAGGGGTGGGGCCCCGGCCTGCTGTCTCAGAAGTCCGATCTTTTCAGCACCAAACGGGAGCCATCTCTCAGGGGCACACTCAAATGAATAAAGTCCATGAGATGGATACATTAAACCACAATGAGAAATAAATAAATGCTTGAAGTCCATATGACCAGCACAATCTCCTTTCTTGTAGGCACGCCTACATGGGATGCGAAGTAATGAGTCATTTCTCTGGGGAGTCTAGTATCAGTATGAGGGAAGACACATGAATGGGAGAAAATAAAAGACTATGACAGGTCTGACTCATGGTTAAGCTAAGATACTAGAAGCTTGTTGGCTACTTACTTGACAGTGGAACCACTTTTTTCACACATCTGGGGAAACTGTTCAAAGGAACAAACTTTGAGAAATGCTGAACTAGATTATCTTTGAGACTCTTTTAGCTCTAAACTCTTTTTCACCTATTTTTTTCTTCAAGTATTTATTTTAATTAAAGGCTTCCTATTTTGTTACAGCTGGGAGTTGCTGGGTCAGCAGTCTTTTAAACATAGCTAACTGGTTTAAAAAATAAGGAAATTTATTTTCTCATTCTTTTGGAAGTTCAGAAGGAGTGCATGCTGTAACCACAGTACAAATTAGCCTGGTGATGTCATCACAGACCCAGGTTCTTTCTTTCTCTCTACTCTATCAGCCTCAGGATCAGCTTCATATTAAAGCTGTCTCGTTTCATGGTCAAAAGATAGACACCAATGGCAGATGATGCCATGAGATTCTCGGGAGGAGATACACACACACATACACATACACATACACACACACAGAAAGAACCTTTCCTCCAACCACTGAATTCAGTCTAAAGGGAGTGACAAGACACTCTTTGGGAATAGAGTGTACAGGACATTGTTTCCTTACCCAGAGACACGCTGTCCCTACAGTCATCTCTTGAGGGGTCCTTGCAGAACTCCTTCTCAGTGTGTTTTCTAGGTCCCAGGGCTTCCTGTGAGATGCACAAGAGAACACCAATGACAACTGTGGCAACTCAAATGTCACTGTCTTTTAAAAAGCCTGGGACCTCTACCAGGCCCCCGAAAAGATAATGGGAATACAGGGGTACCACGTGTGAAGCTAGCATCATAAGGCACAGCAAGGCCAAGGAGAGAGAACTGGGGGTGGGAGGGACAGGCTTCCAGGCAGGGCAGCCCCTGTGCTTATGCCTGTTGCTGAGGGGTGGCCATGGGGAGAGAGGAGGAGCACTGGGGGCAGGAGGACCAGAGTAGTGCTGACAGGCAAGGAAGAACAAGCAGCAGCTTACCTGGGACTCAGTGGGCACCTCCCAATGGCCAATGCTCCCCATCTTCGGGAGAGTAAGGAGGTGAGAAGTGAGGACAGCTGAGGAGAAGAAAAAAATCTCTGAAACCCAAGCTCTGGATTCCAAAGAGGTACTCTCCCTCTCAGGTCCAGTTTCCAAAAGTCATGCTTAGATCAAACTAAGACTCTCTCTGTGGCCCGTACAGATTTCTCCTTTTACTTCCCTTCTAGAGCGTCTAGGTCCTAAGCTGCCTTGAGTGATATGCCATGTGTGAGATGCCAGCCTGGAACTCCCACAATCGCTACCCGGCTGCGGCCCCAGCCTATACCTGCTGCATGACTCTGGCTACAGTTGGGTGTGCTCGGGTCACTGGGAGCTTCATCCTCTTTTCTAATGCTTACTCACTTACTTACCTTCTCAGTAAGTATATCCATCAGACGCTAGTCTATGCCTTGACTTGAAATCTGTATTTGCTTCCTCCCTAGATACCCTTTCCTACCATCCAGCCCTTTCCCCTGAGGGAGAAGGCTCCATTCCCAGTGCTTCCCCAGTTCTTGGTACTCACCTCTCTCTTTCAAAGACTGTGGCACCATCTTGGTGTTTAGGTGCTTGGGAAGGTCAGGATTTTGATTCTTCACCCACTGCTTCTGGGACTGTTCCTCAGGCCAGTGATCCTCTGGCTGCAGCTGGAAGTTCCGTGATTCCTGCATTGCCATTAAGGACCTGGTCTCTGCACACAATTCCAGTTCCTACACACAGACAGCCAAAATTCCCAATCGTTGGTTCTATAAGACCCACTGTGGTAGGGCAGGGAATGTTATCTTGAGTACAACTGTGGTCCAAAAGCTAACAGGTGTTTTTAAGGTCCAAAGATGGCTTAAAGGATGACTATAAGCCATCACACTGACTTCGGCAAATAAACAAGCATTTATAACACCAAATGAGTGCCGTCTTGTTCAATGCAGGGAGGGTATACAAATGTTTCAATGAGCTTGCCACTGTTCAAAACATTTGTGAATCATAAGGTGATGAATTATGTAAAATGTGACATTAAAAAAAAAATCCCTAAGCATCAAAACATTTAGATAACCTTTTAAGTTATCTAAAAAGATAAAAGTATATATTAAAAGAAAAAGGGAAGCATAAAAAAACATAAAAAATAGATAAAACACTAAATACAATTGCTCTAAAAATCCCTGCTGAAAGATAAAGAAAATTTAAAAGTAAATATAAAAAAAGAGGGAAGACAAAGAATTAAACATTAAAAAAAAAAAAAAGTATGTGCTGTTTAAAAGGGCACATCTAATCCTAAAAACCGAAGAATAAATAAGGCTCTCTATCTCAATACAGGAGCCCTGGTGGTGCAGTGGTTAAGCGTTCGCCACTAACTGAAAGGTTGGTGGTTCTAACCTACCAGCTGCTCCATGGAAAAAAAGATGTGGCAGTCTGCTTCCGTAAAGATTTATAGCCTTGGAAACCCTATGGGGCAGTTGTACTCCATCCTATAGGGTCACGAGGAGACGGAATCGACTTGATGGCAACAGGTTAACTCAAAAGGAAAGCAGAAGTGGCTATTTTAATTTCAATGTAAAATTTTGGGCAAAAAAGTACTCAAAGATACAGAAAATACACATAAAATAAAAGAGAATAATCAATTAAGAGATAACTTGATTAAATTCTTTTGTGCCCTAAAACACTGCAAAAATATACAAAACAAAAATTATTGGAAATACATAAGAAATGGACCCAAGCCAACTGTTATGAGCTTCTTAAGCTATGCAGTAACCATGGGAGCTGAAACAGATAAAATAATAATAATAATCAAGAATATAAACAATGGAATGATCTCGTTGGAATTACTGAATACTGAACTTTATACCCTACAACACCACCTTTAAACACTGGGTGACAAAGACATGCTCAATAAAAACATTTCTGATTCCTCTTTGGTAATGACTTTATGGGTGGAGTGGTTAAGCTGTTGGCTGCTAACCAAAAGATCAGCAGTTCAAATCCATCAGCCACTCCTTGGAAACCCTATGGGGGCAGTTCTACACTGTCCTATAGGGTCACTATGAATCGGAATCAACTCGACAGCAGCGGATTTGGTTTGGTTTTTTAAAAGCCATACATAGATTTAAGGCAGAATCCCCACTCCCCTGGCCTTATCTTTCCATAAAGGAACTTCTACTAGGGTAGCCCTCTTCCTTTCCCCACTCATTCCCTCCTCCCCAAAGGACAGAGACTGCTTGTGTACTTGGCTTGTGTAGTTGGGGATAAAGAGCTGAGCACACCCCACCCAGCCCCTCCCCCTCTTGGGTCACAGCAGGCCCTCAGCATGCACACTGGTCTGCTCCTCCTGGAGCGGAGCTTACTAAAGCAGCCTCTCACCATGAAGGGGGAACTGAAGAGAGAGAGAGAAAGGGAGGAGGGCGGACTGGAGGACTAGAGGTTCAATCCAAGAGGCAGGTATTAGCAAGCCACATTACCGAATTCAGCTTTATCAAAGATAAAGCTAATATCTGATTCTCTCTCTCTCTCTCTATGGGTTCCAAATTTAGAGGTAGGGGCCAAGGTGTCATTTCCTGGTCCTAAAACCCCAACAATATAGCAATTCCAATGCTTTGTAGAAACATCTAACTTTTGGAATAGGTATATACTCACATGGTTCAAAAATAGAAAGATATATAAAGGTACTCAGTGAAAAGACCGCCCTCCCCCTGCTTCCCATCCCATCTGCCCAGTTCCTGCCCTGACTCCTCACCACAGGTCACCGCTGCTCTTCCGCATCCTTTCAGAGCATCTCTAACTACATACAAGCAAATACAAATATATTCTTATTCTTTCCCCATTTGTTCACAACAGGTATTGACTATACAATACACTGACCCTTACTTTTTGACACAGTAACATCCATCACTGTCAACTTACTGCCAAACTCAGCTCCAAAAATCTTTTGCTGATCTGAAAACTCAAATCTTCTTTCAAAGATGGGGATTTTTTTTTTACCATTAAGAAGATATACAGGAATGGGCCATGAGCATCAAAGGCCATTCCAAATGAGGAGATCCTCCAATGTCCTGGGTAGCTTCATAGGGAGATAACATCTGCTCATCAACATTCTTATATGATTGTTTAAAAATAACAACAACAACAAAAAATAATAATCACTTGGTTACAGTGACAGTCTACAGAGGAACTGTGTGACTAGACCCAACAATAACGTTTACTCCCGACCCTAGCTCCTCCAACTATTACCATCCCTAAGCAAAGATTCTGATTCCAGAGATGGCAGTTGTGGACACAGAATGAAGTAGATTCAAGAGATAATGAGAAGACCAAAAAAAAAAAATCAGAGGATACTGATTAGGGGTAGGGATGAACAAAGAATCCATCAAAAATGTCTGTGTACCTGATGAGGAGACAGGTTCTATAAGATGGTGATGACAGAATAAACAAGCTAGAAATCACAAAACATCAGAGCTGAAAGATCCCGTTAAGAAAATAGCATACAGTCCCTTTAGCCCAGTAGGTCCCAACTTTCTTCGGGTGGTAGTTCTCTTTGAAGAACACAAATAATATATTTCATTCCATTAGTAAGATCTGGAAGAATTTTACTTGCAGAAAATATAACTAAGTTATGTACCTTGCAATACAAGATAACAAGCTACAACATATGTGCCCCCAAAACCAAGCTCCTTTGCTACTTACCCATTTGTTTTGACATTTGTGAGCACCCGGGAGTATGTAGAAAAATTGAAAAATGAAAATAAAAATCACAGGAGAAAAATATATAACAGATAAGACTGCATTGCCTTATTTTTTCTCAATTTTAGAAGCAGTTCAAGCTTTAGTCAGCTCACAGGGGCATAATTTGGGAACCTCTGCTCTAGTTCAACCCCCTCACTTTACAGACGAAGAATCATAAAGACCTTGATTGAATTCAATTCTCATCTCTGGGTCTCAAATTCTTCATCTTTCAGCTCTGAAGCCCTAAGACTTCCATTTGTTTCTTTACTGCCACTTAAGACAAACAGCTGGTTTCTTTAAAAGAAATAATATGGGAGATGGTGTGGCATATTAAAAAAAGGTACACCCTCTCATACTTACTTCTATAACTAAATATTATTCTTTCTGTATATTCAATCAGTTTGTAAAGGAATCCAAACAGAAAAGCTGTAGACATTAAGCCTTTCTTCCCCCAATCTCACATCTGTATAGAGCTTCTCAACAGATAGAAAAACCCCACCATTTGCAAAGTATACCATATATTCTCAAACCTATAATTTCCCCTGACAAAGTGCAACTAAGAATAATATCACTACATGTAAAAAGGAGAGTAACAGGATTATGCTGAGATGAGGGTTCTGGGTGGCTGGCAGCCAGCTAAAGGACTTGTACTACATATACCAGCTTCAATGCAAGATTCGAAATTTGTATCACAACAAAATTATATCATGGGCCTTCACAGTCTCTTCCAAATTGTTGAAACTGTGAATGTTAAATCCATGATACTTTCACTTGCCTTATCTCGGCTCCACCACTTAATTATATAAACTTGGGCAAGTTACTTACCTTTCTGTGTTTCTTAACCCATTTGGAAAATGGTAATTAAAAACAAACAAGCAAACAGTTGCTGTTGAGTTGATCCCAACTCATGGCGACCCCATGTACCAGAATAGAACTGCACTCCATAGGGTTTTCATGGCTGTGTCCTTTCGGAAGCAGATCACCAGGATTTTTTTCTGAGTTGCCTCTAGATAGGTTCCAACTGCCAACTTTTTGGTTAGTAGCCCAGCGCTTAACCCTATGTGCCACCCAAAGACTCCCTGGCGATGATAATAGTACTACCTTATTGGATTGCTGGTTGAGTAGATGATACACATAAAAAGCTTGGAACAATGTCTGACACAGTGAGTACTCAATATTGTCAGTTAATATCTCATTTGAGCCTCACAACTCGGAGGTATTTTAATTCCCATGGTTTTGCAGATGAGGCATCTGTTGTGTAGTGGAAAGAACGATGGACTTGGAACCTAAGGATCTGGGTTTAAGCTCTGGTTCACTAGCTGAGTTTTGTGAGCCACTTGACTTTTGGGAGCCTTGGTTTCATCTGTAAAATGGGGACAATAATACAATTTCTGCCTATCTACCTTATACTGTCAAAATACAAACAGATCACGTGTGTAAAAACATTGCGTTTAGTGCAAAACACAATACAAACTAAATAAATAGTTTTAGAGTACTGGTTATAAGCACTGGCTTTAGGGTCAGGCTGCGTGGGTTCAAATGCTGCTCTACCATCTGTAGCTATCTGACCTTGGGCAAAGTACTTATCTTCTCTCTGCCTCAGTTTCTGAATCAGTAAAATATGGATAACAGTCACTATGCCATTAAATTGTTGAGAAAATTAAATAAGGTAATACACGCATAGCACTTAGTGCCTGGTACATAACAAGTGCCTGATAAATGTCAGTTGTTCAACAGACACATAGACCAATGGAACAGAGTTGAGAATCCAGATGTAAATTCATCCATCTATGAGCAGTTGCTATTTGACAAAGGGCCGAAATCTGTTGAATGGGGAAAAGACAGTCTCTTTAACAAAGGGTGCTGGCATAAATGGATGTCCATCTGTAAAAAAATGAAACAAGATCCATATCTCACACCATACACAAAAACTAACTCAAAATGGATCAAAGACTTAAATATAAAATCTAAAACAATAAAGATCATGAAAGCAAAAATAGGGACAAGGCTAGGGGCTTAACACATGGCATAAATAGTATACAAACCACAACTAACAATGTACAACACACACCAGAAGAAAAATCAGATAACTGGGAGCTCCTAAAAATTAAACACTTATGCTCACCAAAAGACTTCATCAAAAGAGTAAAACAAGAATTTACAGAGTTGGAAAAAGTTTTTGGCTACGACATACCCAACAAGGGTCTAATCTCTGAAATCTACAAAATACTTCAACACCTCAATAATAAAAAGACAAATAATCCAATTAAAAAATGGGCAAAGGATATGAACAGATACTTCACCAAAGAAGACGTTCAGGCAGCTAACAGACACATGAGGAAATGCTCATGATCATTAGCCATTAGAGAAATGCAAATCAAAACTATAATGAGATACCATCTCACCCTGACAATACTGGCACTAATCAAAAAAACACAAAATAACAAACGTTGGAGAGGTTGCAGGGAGATTAGAACTCATATGCATTGCTGGTGGGAATGTAAAATGGTACAATCACTTTGGAACACGATATGGACGTTTTCTTAAACAGCTGGAAATAGAAATACCATACGATCTAGCAATCCCACTCCTAGGAATATACCCTTGAGAAATAAGAACCATCACATAAATAGACATACGCACACCCATGTTCATTGCAGCCCTATTCACAATAGCCAGAAGATAGAAACAACCTAAATGCCCACCAACAGATGAATGGATAAACAAATTATGGTACGTACACACAATGGAATACTACGTCACAATAAAGAACAATGATGAATCCACAAAACATCTCATAACAGGGATGAATCGGGCGGCATTATGCTGAGTGAAATAAATCAGTCATAAAAGGACAAATATTGTATAAAACCACTATTATAAGAACTCAAGAAAAGGTTCATATACAGAAAAAAATAATCCTTGATGGTTTTGAGGGTGGGGAGGGAGAGGGAGGGAAAATCACTTACTAGATAGTAGACAAGTGTCAACTTTGGTGAAGGGAAGGACAACACGCAATCTGGGGGAAGTCAGCACAACTTGACCAAAGCAAAGGCATAGAAGTTTCCTAGACACATCCAAACACCTTGAGGGACCGCTGGGGCTGCAGGCTGAGGGCTGGGGACCATAGTCTCGGGGGACATCTAGGTCAGTTGGCATAACATAGTTCATAAAGAAAATGTTCGACATCCTACTTTGGTGAATAGCATCTGGGGCCTTAAAAGCTTGCAAGCAGCCATCTGAGATACATCTGTTGGTCCCATCCCATCCGGAGCAAAGGAGAATGAAGAAAACCAATGACACAGGAAAAACACTAGCCCAAAGGACTAAAGGACAACATGTACCAGAGCCTCCACCAACCTGAGCCCAGAAAAACAAGATGGTGCTCAGCTACCACCACCAAACTATCTGATAGGATCACAACAGAGAGTTCTGGACAGAATGGGAGAAAAATGTAGAACAGAATTCAAATTCACGAAAAAAGACCAGACTTACTGGTCTAACAGAGACTGGAGGAACCCTTAAGACTATGGCCCCAGGGCACCCTGCTAACTTAAAACTGAAATCACTCCCAAGACCCACTTTTCAGACAAAGATTAAAACCCAACAACAACAACAAAAACCAAACCCATTGCCATCAAGTCAACTCCAACTCATAGCGACCCTATAGGACAAAGTAGAACTGCCCCATAGGGTTTCCAAGGAGAGGCTGGTGGATAACCACTGACCTTTTGGTTAGCAGCCAAATGTTTAACCACTGTGCCACCAGGGCTCCAAGACAAAGATTAGACAGGCCTATGAAACAAACAATAACACAAGGAACGGGCTTCTTAGTTCAATCAAATATATGAGACCAAATAGGCAACTCCTCCTGCCCAAAAGCAAGATGAGAAGGCAGGAAGGGACAGGAACTGGACAAATGGACAAAGGGAAACTGAAGTGGAAAGGAGGAGCAAGCTGTCACATTGTGGGGAGCACAACCAATGTCACAAAATAATATGTGTATAAATTTTTGAATGAGAAACTAACTTGGGCTGTAAACATTCACCTAAAGCAAAATAAAACTAAAACAAACAAACAAAAAGGGCAGTTGTTATTATTGTTGTTGCTGTTGTGATTTTGGCAATTATCAACCCAGTCACATTAACCTAGCTCCACTGCCTTGCCCAGCCTGCTCCTTACAGAACAGACTATGGCCTCACCTGCTGCTGTGCAGCCCGGACCTCTCGGTGCCAATCCTCCACCAGGGCCACTGCCTCCTCGCCGCTCTCAGGGTGGCGCGCCTGCACCCAGGTCTGGACCTCCCTGGGTAAGATAGTCAGGAACTGCTCCAGCACCAGCAGCTCCAGGATCTGCTCCTTCAGGCGGATCTCCGGCCTCAGCCAGCGACAGCAGAGCTCCCAGAGCTGGCTGAAGGCCTCATGCGGTCCAGCTGCATCCCTGTACTGGAACTGCCTAAAGCGCTGGCGGGAGGCCTCAGGGACAGGGACAGGGTCCTGGTCTTCCTCCCAAGATTTGGGTTCTGATCCCCACGAGTCCTCCTCCAGTTTCACAATCAGAAGTCCTTCAGGCTCTGGCAGTGGAGAGGCCTGGGCCTGGGATTCCAGGGTCACAGCCATGGTCTAGCCTGGATGTCTCACTTCAGCTGGGCTGTCCTCTTCTGACTTCTTCCTGCATTTAGGGTGTATCCTCCAAGGGGGCTCCTGAGAAAGGGGTTGCTGCCCAAAGCACTGGAGGCAGAAAGACAAAGAACACAGTAAGCAAGAGGATCCAGGAGTCTCACTTTCTTCATCTCCCCCATACCTTCCACCATCGATGCATGGAGTGAGAAGGGTGCTGAGAGGCCCCTTTCCCACAGGCAGGAAGTGAGATCACAATCTGGTGCCAAAGCCACCAACCTGCACATCTTGAAGAAACCCAGCACAGTATTAAAACATCTGGCGACATATCTAAACTTCTTAGCCTGGCATTTAAGGCCTCCATGAGCTGGCCCAGTATAGCCTTCCTCCCTTATACACACATCCAAAGTCTAATCGTCCCTCAAGTTGAGTTCCCAATGTCACCCCGTCCATAAGGCCTTTCTTCCTGAGCCTTACAGCATCCTCTAAGGGTACTCTCCTTGCAAAATCCTTCTCTCACTCTACACTCCCCCTTGGCCATCCCACCCATTTGGCTTTTCCACCATCTTTCTTCTGATGACTCCCAAAAGGCCAGCCAGGACCTGTCTCCACACTTTCAGACTCCAAGATCCAACCAGCTACAGGACATTTCCACTTGGCTGTCCCTTGGACATCTGAAACTCGATGGGTCAAAAGCTGAATTCATCATTTTCTCCTGCAAACCTGTCCCTCTTCTGGAGCTGCCCATTCAGAGAAGGCACCACCTTCCACCAACTTACTCACACCAGAAACCTCATCATCCTTCTCCAAGATCCTCCACATCCAATTCATCCCCAAGCTGTGTCCATTTGGCCTCCTAAACATTCACATCCTCAGCACCACCTCCTCAGTCCAAGCAATCATCACATCTTTCAGTTGATCAGCCTACTAACTCATGTCCCTGCTCCCTTCCCAGTCCCTGGTCCCTTCTTAACACAATATCCAAACTTGATCAAAATCTGACCGGGTCATTTCCCCACTAAACACCTTCAATGACCTCTCGTTTCCCTCAGTATAAAGTACAAACCTTGCCTAAGTCTCCAGTCTTGCCTCTTTACCATGCTCCCACTCATCAGGGTGGTCCAGCTGCACAGCTCCCAGTCCCTGCATCATGCTACTCTCTGAACCCTCCCACATGCTATGATCTCCTCTGAGAACAGTCTCCTCCCCTCCTTCACCCAGCTAGGTCTTAGCTTAAATTGCACTTTTTCCAAGAGGCTTTCCTGAACCCTGAAACAACATTCAGTACTCAGCTACAAGCTTTCACAGAACCTTACGTTTTCTCTACCATAACCATAATCAGACTTTATTGTAATTATCTTACTCACTAGATCATAAGCTTCCTGAGGAACCTAGCGTAGTGCTTGGCACACAAAGGAAACAAACAAAAAAATCAAACCCATTGTTGCTGAGTCGATTCCAACTCATACCAACCCTACAGGACAGAGTAGAACTGCCCCCTAGCGTTTCCAAGGAGCGGCTGGTGGATTCAAGCTGCCGACCTTTAGGTTAGCAGCTGAGCTCTTAATCACTGCACCACCAGGGCTCCAATGATCGACTAATGACAATGGTGTGTCATGAACCAAGGATTACAATTAATCCATTTCTATACATAGTAGATTAAAAAAAAAAAAAAGAAATTACCTTTCTACTCATGCTGGAAGGAATTCCTTTCTCCTCTTTACTTCCACCTTGCTTGTGACACCACTTTCTACATTGTATTATAGACGGATATGTGTATGTACATGTGTCCTGGAGAGATTACAGCCTCACTGAGGGCAAAGAATACAACTTACTCCTCTTTTTTGTCATCCCTAGCCGCAGCTATAAGCATGGTGCTCTAAACAAAGGAGTCTCTCAGTAAATGCTTCCTGAGTGAACATCTGGGCCTGCCTCCACTACACAGTGAAGATCCTGTTGACATCCATGCTGGGTTATCTGAAAAAATGAGCTTTTGTGTCATTCCAACTAATTGAGATGATGCAAGAAATGCCCACTCAAAGGAGGCTATTAGCTGCATGACACAGCTGGATTGTGAATGGATGAAGGGTGACAATTTGCATCTAAGGCCATCTGACTAGACTGTCAGAAAACAAGCAAAGGTGATAAAAACTAAAGGCTTGTCCTAAAGACCTCTATACACTAAGGAAAAGGGTGGAAACACAACCCATGGCCATCTGGCAACTTCCTTCTCATCCTTCAGCTACCAGCTCAAATGTCATCTCATCTGTTAAGTTCCTTGACATGCCCTTGTCATACCCTGTCCCCACTCCTGCTCCCTAAGAACTGCCTCCCCATACTATGTTCCCAAAACAGTTGGTTCACACCTCTCATGTAGGTTTTATCCCACACCACTGTAGTGTGAACTTAATACTATTATAGCATCAACTTCTGCAGTCTGAAATTGATCAAATGTGCAATCAAGATGCATTGATAATTACTGGTGATTGAAATGAGAAAGTTGGAAACAAAGAAGGATTAGTAGTTGGAAAACAAACATGTCCTTGGTGACAGAAACGACGCAGGAAATCGCATGATGGAATTTTGCAAGACCAACGACTTATTCATTGCAAATACTTTTTTCAAGGTAAAAGGCGACTATACATGAGGACCTCAACAAATGGAATACACTGGAATCAAATCAACTACATCTATGGAAAGAGACAATGGAAAAAAAACTCAACATCATTAGTCAGACCAAGGCCAGGGGCCAACTGTAAAACAGACCTCAATAGCTCATATGGAAGTTCAAGCTGAAGCTGAAGAAAATTAAAACCAGCCCATGAGAGGCAAAGTGTGACCTTCAGTATATCCCACCTGAATTTAGAGACCATCTGAAGAATAGATTTGATGCAATGAACACTAATTACCAAAGACCAGATGAGTTGTGGGATGACATCAAGGACATCATGCATGAAGAAAGCAAAAGGTCATTAAAAAGACAGGAAAGAAAGAAAAGACCAAAATGGATGTCAGAAGAGACTCTGAAACTTGCTCTTGAATGTAGGGCAGCTAAAGCAAATGGAAGAAATGATGAACTAAAAGAGCTGAACAGAAGATTTCAAAGGGCAGCTTGAGAAGACAAAGTATTACGAGGAAATGTGCAAAGACTTGGAGTTAGAAAACCAAAAGGGAAGAACACGCTCAGCTTTTATCAAGCTGTAAGAACTGAAGAAAAAATTCAAGCCTCAAGTTGCAATACTGAAGGATTCTACAGGCAAAATACTGAATGACCCAGGAACCATCAAAAGAAGATGGAAGGAATACACAGAGTTGATGTTCAACCATTTTAAGAGGGAGCATATGATCAAGAAACGATGGTATTGAAGAAAAAAGTCCAAGTTGCACTGAAAGCACTGGCGAAAAACAAGGCTCCAGGAATTGATGGAATACCAACTGAGATGTTTCAACAAACAGATGCAACTCTGCAAGTGCTCACTTGTCTATGCTAAAAAATTTGGAAGACAGCTACCTGGCCAACTGACTGGAAGACATCCATACCTGTGCCCATTCCAAAGAAAGGTGATCCAGAGGAATGTGGAAATTATACAACAATATCATTAATATCACATGCAAATAAAATTTTGCTTAAGAATACAAAAACAGTTGCAGCAGTACATCAACACGGAACTGCCAGAAATTCAAGCCAGATTCAGAAGAGGATGAATTGTATCATTGCTGATGTTCTATGGATCTTGGCTGAAAGCAGAGAATACCAGAAAGATGTTTAACTGTGTTTTATTGACTATGCAAAGGCATTCGACTGTGTGGATTCACAACAAATTCTGGATAACACTGGGAAGAATGGGAATTCCAGAACACTTAATTGTGCTGCTGAGGAACCTGTACGTAGACCAAGAGGCAGTTATTTGAACACAAGGGGATACTGCATGGTTTAAAATCAGAAAAGGTATGCGTCAGGGTTGTATCCTTTCACCATACTTATTCATTCTGTATGCTGAGCAAATAATCTGAGAAGTTGGACTATATGAAGAACAACACGGCATCAGAATTGGTGGAAGACTCATTAACAATCTGCAATTTTCAGATGACGCAACCTTACTTGCTGAAAGCAAAGAGAACTTGAAGCACTTACTGATGAAGATCAAAGACCACGGCCTTCAATATGGATCACACCTTAACAAAAAGAAAACAAAAATCCTCATAACTGGATCAATAAGCAACATCATGATAAACAAAGAAAATACTGAAGTTCTCAAGGATTTCATTTTACTTGGATCCACAATCAACACCCACGGAAGAAGCAGTCAAGAAATCAAAGGACTTGTTGCAATGGGCAAATATGCTACAAAAGACCTCTTTAAAATGTTAAAAAGTGAAGATGTCACCTTGAGGACTAAGGTGTGGCTGACCCAATCAATGGTATTTTCAATTGCCTCGTACGCATGCAAAAACCGGACAATTAATCAGGAAGACAGAAGAATTGAAACCTTTGAATTATGGTGTTGGTGAAGAATATTGAAAATACCACGGACTGCCAGAAGAACAAACAAATCTGTCTTGGAAGAACTACAGCCAGAATGCTCCTTAGAATCGAGGATGGTGAGACTTCGTCTCATGTGCTTTGGACATGTTATCAGGAAGGACCAATCCCTGGAGAAATACATCATGCTTGGTAAAGTAGAGGGTCAGCGAAAAAGGGGAAGACCGTCAACGAGATGGACTGACACAGCAGCTGCATAATGGGCTCAAACATAGAACGGATTGAGAGGATGGCACAGGACTGGGCAGTGTTTTATTCTGTTGTACACAAGGTCGCTATGAGTGGGAACCTACTCAACCGCACCTAACAACACTGTAGCTACCTGTTCTATATCTGACAGCTGCACCAGGCTGTTAAGTATTACTAAGTTCCATATTGTATCTTACTCGTTTCTGTGTCCACAGTGCCCAACTCAGCGTCTGATAAATAGCGGGGCCATTCAAAGTTTTGATGTCTTTCATTAAAATGGTAAATGTGGTATGTCAAAAGCCTAACCGACTATGTAGGGTCAATAATTTACATTAATCTAAAGAACTGACTTCTCACGAAATTTCTTTTTTTAACAACA